TCTAAGTAGTTCTCTCCTCTTTGAACAGCGTGCGTGGAAATGATTCTTGTGTAGACGACGACTGGGTGCTGTTAATTATTCGTCTTTTGCTCCTAACTCTATGAACGCTGATGAGTCTATGTCTTCCTGCCTTTTATAGGACAGTTCTCGTGAGAACTTCATCACAGCACTGCATGTTTTCTGCAGCTGCTCCAAAGAACATACGTAAAGTTCTTGCAACTTTCTGACTTAACGGACGCTTGTGTCTAGCGTAAATGATGAACTGTAATTTCTCTTTACTTAGTTGAGCACCTCCCAGCATGATTGTATTGGCAGAAAATTAATTATTTGACCTTCAAGCAAAAATTAATGATCTAAAAAAAACAACTTTAAAAGGCAAGTTCAGTTCATTAACTTCTGACAGGACAAACATTTTTATTGATAACCACTTCAGGTGAGGATCTCATCAGGCCGGTTCAATAAAAAAATAAAATAAAAACACAGTCATACATCCTTAATCCCTGGTTTGTCCCTGTTTTATATGGACTGTGTTAGTTTAATATTATCATGAACATGCAGCCTCCTTTAATGGAGGACAGAGGGAAAAGATCACTTTAGGTCTGTGACTCTAAACAAGGTTTATATCCTGCATTTCAAGTTTGGTTTATTTTTTGTTTCTTTGTTAATGTAATAAATTCAAGTCATAATCTTTGTCTAATAATAAATTATGTAATCACACCCTGAGCCCAACATTATAAATTAGTCTTGATAATTACTATAATTGGACAATGGAATAAATCATATTAATTATATGTAGGAAAACTTAGCAAATGTTTTGACTTGCCAGGTACAAATTGTATTTTGACTTCAATGTAATAAAACATATGGACAACATTACAGTAAGTAACTGTTGTTTTATGTTTTTGAGAGGGAATACAAAATGTTAAAGATGGTGATAACACTTAAAAGATCCTTATTCATTTTATTATGGTTGTTGCACTGAAGCAGTGTGAACAATGATGCTGTAAGTCCAGCAAATGCTAGTCGACTTAATGGGATTACAAAATGTGTTGCAGTGTTGCAACACAACACCACCTGGAAATGTACCTGCATGAGTAAACAAAATACTGTGCATGTGCATTCATTTGTTTTGCTACATTACTGTTGGTGAGACAAGAAACTTACATTGAGATAGATAGATTTATAGATAGATTTGAACAAGAAATCATCCTAATGTAGTTTGCCTAAAACCCAAAAGAAATCAGATGTTGGAAATTGAAACGTTTTTGCGGACATTTATTGGTTTATCCAGAAACCATCGAGCTTCTTCAAAGGTTTCGTTTTACATGAAGTCTTTGATCTGATTAAGCTTTCAGATGAAAACAACAATGAGGCATAAAACTGCTCAGCAGCAGTTATTTATATGAATAAAACAAACTTTTAATCTAATCAGAAGCTTTAAACTTTCCTAGCCTTCGGGGAACTGGTTCAAAATAAGATGCATGAAACCTGATTGTTGCTTCTCAGTGTTGAATTTTTCCATTTATTGCTTGTCTGTGATGGAACGTCCCATTCGGTGACCACTCAGGCTCAAATGCTGTGAGCTGAGCCGTAAGCTGGACTCGATTTCTGAGAATCGCAGGTCACTTGCAGCTACTGAAACTCACTGGTGAAAAGGAATCGACCTTGGAGAAGCAACAAGCTCGGTCCAACGGAGCTGACTACAAAAATGTGGCTGTTTGAAGTCGCCTTTGAGATGTAACAGTAGGACTATAAGGCAGACAGAAATCAAGCAGTGTTGGCCTGACCCAAAGTAACTGTTGTTATCTGAATCTGACTCCCCATGACAGCTTTGAATTGGCCAACTATCCCAAAATCTCCTGGATGCTATGTGAACAAGAAGCTCTGCTCCCCCCTACCCTCTCCTTTCCCGAGGACATCTGTGGACCTGTGTCAGAGTTGAGCCGGCTGAGAGACACTGCATCATCTTTTATCAGGAATATGGAATTATCTGGCAGTGTCCACGGACAAACTCACCACCTTCGCCGGCCTCCTCAAGCATATGTATTATAATGTCATCAGTATGTTGCTATTTCTGTGCTGAGGTTTTTTTTTTTTTTTGCAAATCTCACACTGTGTCCCATCTAGGAAACAGTGTGAGATATGATTTGTTTACACCTCCTCTTCCCTCGTGTTTCTCTTTTCTTATCTAAATGAAAAGGGCAGCACCTCCCACGAGGCCGCAGCCTGAGACACCTCCGTCTCCCCACGTCTCTTTGTTTGTGTTTTACTTAGACAGGCTGTGCTGAAATGTAATTTTGTTGTGCTTTGGTGCAATGACAATAACGCTGATTTTGATTCTGATTCTAAACAGGCCTGACCCAGACTACCTGCTGTGTTGCGTTAGACATGCAAGTTGGTCTTGAACCTTTTTAAAACGCACAGAAGCATTTCAGGGTTTTGAGGAAGCCAGTGCAAAGATTGGACACAGTGAGTGATGTGACCCTATATGGTCTTTACTGAGAGCTCAGCTGTGTTTTACTCAAGCTTCAACTGTGATCAGTTAAGACCTGTCAAAACACCACAGTCTTCTGAATCACACCTGTAATCTTAGAGACAGTATTTAGGTGAAAATGGGACAATTTTGTCATTGCTGTGGGTCTGGCTGAGGTTATAATCTCCAATAACTATAACGTCTCTGTAACAACCTGCATCACAAGATTATACACAGCTGTGCAGTGTTTTGGTATCTGATACCCTCTAAAATTCATGCATAAATAAGACTTTACATGCTCAATGCTGCTGCATAAAAAAGGTGATGATGACCTAAGAAATACCTGACGAGACGACGTCTTTGATCATATTTTGCAGCAAATGCAGTGCTGCTGTTTCCTGCTGGCCAGTGGCAGCTTCCTGGCAAAAGTATTAGTAGGGCGGACATTAATTTGCCAAATTAACAACACAAATATATATATTTTTTATATATAAATATATATATTTATAAATATATATATATATATATTTATATATATATATATATATTTATATATATACACATGTATATATATATATACACAAGAGAGAGAGATAGTGGATTGCCAAATGCTTGCGCTCAAAATTGTTTGGATCTGTAAAAGTTTTTTAACTTTTATTTTAAATATATACAAATGGACAAATCATGTAAGAATATATCACTGATTCAAATACATTCCCCAACCAGTGATTGAACCCACAGTCTTGTCATGATCCCAAGGCTCAATGAGACTAAGCTGTATAAATAAAGTTTGAATGAAAAAAATGATGAGACCAATAATGTTTCTGTCCACACCAGTTTCAGACCTTAATTGTTGGTATTTTTATACCTCTGTTCTTTTTATGTATTGTATGATCCCTTGTGCATGTTCCTTGTATTGAAACTCTGGCACAATAAATTCCTGCAGGATCAATATAGTTCTTATCGTGTCTATAATAGTCAAAATAGATGAGAATCCTACCAGATTGGCTAAAATGACCCACATTTTGTCTATCCTCCTCAGTTTTCTGTTCTGGTCCAAATGGATCTAAACAGAATATCTTCACAACACAGAAGGTTTTGCTGGAGCTATTCCTGTTTGTGAGCTCACGTCAGATCAAGGGCAGAAAATCTGACAACCCAAAGGAGACTCTGTTTGGATCACTGGACATGTTCTGATCCACTTGATGAACGGTGCCAGTAAATTAGTAAAGAACTGAGAATGAATCACAAAAAATCTTTTTAAATTCCATTTTAAATTGTTAAAATACACAGAACAAAATTGCACAGCAAGCTCAGTAACTAAGTGCATCATTTATGAGGAGGAGCTACTTTGTGAGGTAAATGCCTCAATGGACCGACCACCGCTGGTCAAGACATTTAATATAATACTCACTAAACACTAATGAACAAAGTCTGGATTTGGATCAGGAATGTGGATCCAGACTCCAGTTAACCCGGGTGGATTTCCACAGGCTAGAAGCTCATTTCTGGAAAAATATTTTGAATATAAACATTTATTTGGCTTGTTGGGAATAAAAAAGACCAACAAAAGTGAATAATTTGTCTTTACTGTGTAGTGATTGTGGAGATGTTTTATTTTGCAAATTAGTTCCTGCAAATGTCAGCGTGATGAACAGAGTTTGTTGTGATAAGAGCGCACAATGAAGATGAAATATGTGCAATCAGTGAATGTTGCTGAGATAAATGAGTTAATATAAAGCAGTATTGTTAAAAAAAAAAAATCTGTGGATGAGAGCAAATTTAGTCTAGGTGGCAAAATCCGCTCCAGTAGATCAGTAGAAACAGATTTTTCCCCCCCCAGTAAACAGTGATCAGGTTTACCTCAGAGTCTGTTACCATGGTGACAGATGCTGAGTTTCACTTACATTTCTTTCAGGGGTGTCAAACATGGCGTTTATCTTGACTCCATGGTATCAAGCTCAGTTTTCACCAAACTTGCTTGCTGGAATACCTCCCCAGTACAATCTTTATCAGAATCCAACATGTTTACATGTTCTTTGTGCTCGTTTTACATTTTTAAGACATCACAACAGCAAACCTTAAGCTGTTCTCATCTGATGAAGGGAGCTTCCTGTTTGAGGTGCTGGTGCAAGTGAAAATCTGACACGCTGGAAATTTCCCTCCCAGCATCTTTATATTGCAGTTTAAACTGATGAGACTTTTTACACTGCAGAATGATGCTCGGTTTTTCTCGCTGAGACTCAGGGGCCCTGAAGGGATTCTGATGAGCTGCTGAAGCTCTTTATCATCAGCTCTGAGATCAACCAAAAAAAAAAAAAAAACAACCTCAAAACACAAAACAGAGCTGAACCATTCATCATCAGAAGAGTGTCACACTGATGAAAACTCCCACATCTTTACCGCGCATTGATTTCCACGCTCTCTCATCTTGGTCCAAGCACCTGTTCTGTGAGCTCAGGAAACCCTCTTGACGGTTTTGAAGCATCACATTTAAGCATTTGTGAGCGCATAAAGGCAAACTCACATTTTGGCCCTGCGGTGGTGGTGGTGGTGGCGGTGGTGTTTACGTCCTTTGACGCAGCCATTTCTGTTAGCGCTGTCCGCCCGTGTGTCAACTGCTTTCCTATCATCCGTCTTGAGTGGCTGGCAGGTTGTTGTGTCTGAGCTGCGAAGGGGAAAAAATGAACAGAGAAAAACATTTAGCTTGTTGGCGCTTCATTCCATTGCATGTTTTTCTGTCCACACAGTTAATGCTTCCATCACGCAGCAGTGGAGAGGGGGGTTTAACATGCTCGGTTTGTCTTATTTCCACTGGTCCACTGGTTATGTATTTTTTTCCCCACCATTTCCTCCTGCCAGCTAATCTTTGGGAGAAACGAAGGGCAGTAATTTACTATTCAAACTGATGTGTCAATGGAAATGTAGTTATTTACATGCTTCAGCAGCCCTGACATTTGAGTAAATGTTTTCCAGTGCATGCTGAAAAGATGCAAGTCATAACAGTTCATATTTTCCATGTTTGCTGCTCTCTTCTCACATGCAGTAAAGAGATAAGCTGCTCATTTTTGAAGCGCTGTTTTGTCAAATATTTAGTTGTAGTTGTAACCTACCGTATTTTTCGGACTATATGGCACACTTAAAATCATTTAATTTTCTCATAAATTGACAGTGAGACTTATAATCAGGTGCATCTTATGTATTAATTCTGGTTGTGCTTACTGACTTTGAACCAGTTTTATGTGGTTATTGTGAATGATCTGAAAAAAGTTTGACTGTTTTGTTTTGCCTAATGCGCTTTATAATCCGGTTCGCCTTATGTATGAAAACAGACCCGTTATACACCAGTGACACCAGCAACCCGGAAAGGAAAAAGCAGGTAAAGAAGGATGGATGAAGTTTTCAGACACGAAAGACTTGATAAATTGAATGATTTGATGTGGGCATACAGACAAAGCCCTGACAAATATTCTGTTTTAGTCATGAGAGATCTGAGCGTAATGAGAAAATCTGCTCTTCTTCATCAAGTGGCTCCCATCTGATTGTAACGGGAAGATAATCAGAGCGAGAGATTAGTCCATCAGCATCGTCTCTTCCACTTCCTCCTGCAACGAGCAGGCAGGAGCCGTCGCGTCCCATCTTCCTCACGTTCGTCGTCGATGACTCCTCAGAGGGAGAGGAAGTGCCCCTGACGGGGATCTAATAATGCAAAACGGCAGACTGCGTGCTCCAACATGCTCGGGTGTTGAAAAGGTGTTGGGGAGATGAAGACAGTCAGCAGAACGATGATTAGTCTGATGAAGGAGGCTGATAGGAAAACAACCTTTGAATTAAGTGCTGATTGGACACATTTCTTTGTGTGTTCATGTAGGACAAATAAATCTGATCTTGCTGCTTTGTGTTGCTGAAATTATCACAATGACAGACTGGTAATTTTATTCAAATATTTAAATAAATATAACAAATACACGAATTCTAAGAATAATAAATTGGTACCGGATGAATTGTTCACATCTTGAATGGATAT